TAATTGACCTTATATTTTGAATCCTTGATGTGACAGAGGACTCCAGGGTCCCTGCCCCACCCACAGAGCCAGTGACGAGCGTGGAAGATTTCATCCCAGACGGAGGGGTCATTGACAAAAGCTTCCTGGAGGACACGAAGGAAGTGAAGGATTCTGGGAAATCTGAGGCTACTGTAGACAGTGACAGGTTCTTACTCTTTGTGTTCAGTTTTGAAAGTTGAATGAGTGATAGACCTTACTGTATTAACTGTTGTTACAAGGATCTTTTTTTATTTCATTTAATTTTAATATTCTGTAAAGATTAATATTTTAATATCATATGAAATTATATACATCATATAAGGGGATTAATTTTCTTATAAGTTAATCTAGAGTAGGCATTTGAATTTTAAAATGATTTAGTTACAAAGCCAATTTGTTTTCATTATGTTAATGAGCACTGACTTTTAGCAGATACCCCCCCCCCCTCCTCCACTCCATCCCCAGTCCAGGGTGCTGGTTCAGGGAGGAGCAAAGTCGATCATATATTGAAGTTTATTATATATTTTACCTTTATCTTCATTTGAGAGACAAGCTGCATTAATTGTTAATCATTATTGAGTCTTCAACAAATTACAAAATCTTAGACCAGTGTCCCAGTCTCAGATTGGGCTAAAATTGCCAGAGTCTGTTAAACTTAGGATACTGAAGTGACCATTAATGTCATTAAGCCTCTTGTCAAATTTTTGGGCTGTTTTTTTTCAGTGAGGAGTCGACAGGAAATCCCATGGTGGCGGGCTTCCAGGATGAGCTGGACTCAGATGATGAGTACACGAACAGCCAATCAAAACAGGTGATAGCTGAGGATTTGGATCTCTCCAGTGACGAGGAGAAACCAAGCATTATGTCTGCCCAGTCAGGGGAACATTCTAGTGATGAAGATGATAAAAGACCTGCTATTAAAAGGAATGAGGACATTTCACAGAGTGATGAAGATACAACTCCACAGCAAGTCAGTGTTGCTCAGGACTACGATTTATCAAGTGATGAAAATGACAATGAAATCTCCATCCAGACTAACAAACATACTGACTTAGTGACAAATAAACCAAGCCCCGACTCTCACGTACAATCAGATGTGTCTAGTGTTCCAAGTCTAGGCTTGGCTTCTGCAGATGAAACAAACAAACAGTTGAGTAACACAGTGACTGTACAGGACACAGAGGAGACATCTGATGAAGTGAGGGAGTCGTCTCCCCCCAGTAATGGGCGGGGCACTCCTGTGAAGGACCTCAGTGTCACAGACTCCGCCTCTGTAGAGGGCCCGGTTCACGTCTCGTCAGATGAGGAGGGGGAGGCCCAGGTGGTCATTCTGGCTGATGAGGACGTCAGTGAGGAGGAGCTAGGGGTCACCACGACGACAGACCAGGCCGGACTCTCTGATTGGCTGGATCAGCTCGAGAGTAAAGTAGGCGGAGTTCCCACGACAACATCTGTTTTATAGCAGTAGTTAACTTAGCTCTGAATGTTGTACTGAATTAAATCCCAAACACCTGCTGTCTTATAACGATAGCTGACGTAGCTCTGAATTTTGTACTGAATTATTAGCTCTGAATGTTTTTTCTGAAATATAAGGTAAGTGGAGCTGTCTTATAATGATAGCTTAGGTAGCTCTGAATGTTGTACTGAATTAAATCCCAAACACCAGCTGTCTTACAGCGATAGCTAACATAGCTCTGAATGTTGTACTGAATTAAATCCCAAACACCAGCTGTCTCAGAGCGATACCTTATGTAGCTCTGAATGTTGTACTGAATTATAAGAGCCCCTCTGGTCAACCTCTGTCTTTTTTAGGATGACTTAGATGATCAGGTAAGTAAACAGTTGTACTGCACCAGGCACTTAAAGAGTTCCCATGTTATTATAACTGTATGAACTGTCCTGCAATTCTAAGATCATTAATAATTTTTATTATTAATGAACAGAAATATATCAACATCATAAAAATGATTTGAAATGACTAGAGATAATTAATTTTTGATTCTTATTTTGGAGGACAGTTCATACAGATCAGTGACTATCCTGCATTTTAAACAGTAAATATAAGTTCCCATATACATACATCAACCTCTAGGCTAGACAGTATCTATGCAGGACTGATATACTGCAAAGTTAGAATTTCTGTTTATAGAGAAGTAGGTCACTGTCAGGGTACTTTATACAGGGTTATCTTCACCCCCGTATTATTTTCGCTCTTTCATACTTGTAAACAAACTTGCTCTATTTTAAATTCGCCCAGTCATAGTTTTATGTAAGGAATTATACTGCATTCTTTGAATTCACCCCGTTTTAATAAATTTGCCCAAACGAGGGTAAGGCAAAAGGGGCGAAAATAAAATGGGGGTGAAAATTTCCCAGTATACAGTATCTAATATGATTAAATATCTTGAAATTGAAGGGAAAGTTTATGTTAGACATTAGTTATTTTAGCTTTGAAAAAATTCATATATGCAGCATTGACTTTTAAAAATTTTAATTTTTCTTAACAAAAAAGAAACAGATTTAGACATGGTCAATCTAATATGAGGGTTGTTCGATATGTATTGTGTATTGTACCACAGCGCAATAACGCCTTGCACGATTTCGTCGATATTTATACGCCTGGATAACTCTATTCCATACCTTGATAACAGTATAAACACGAGCCTTCATCTACACATGGTTATAAAATAATCGTCATTTCAACAGAGCCAGTCGTTGACCACTGTTGTAAAAATGGTTGGGAAAAGGTTGAGAATATTGAAGAAATCAGAGCTTATATAAAAGTTCGCACAAAACTTGGTAATTCGGTAAAGCAGATTTTTACTGAATTGGGGGAAGTTTATGGGTCTGATAAGGTATCTTATGAGACAGTTCGTAGGTGGAGACAGAAATTTCTGACTGGCACAGAGTCCGTCAAAGATGCAGCAAAATCGGGTCGACCTGTGACTGTATCAGCCAAGACAAATGTCTCAAAAGTCAAGGAAATAATTGAAAGTGATGGCAGGTACACGATTCGTGATATTGCCAAAGCTGTTGGCATATCGCTGTCGAAGGTGCATTTCATTTTGAAGCGTATTTTGAAAGTACGAAAGATTTCTGCCAGATGGATACCCCATATATTGACAGATGACCAAAAAAAGGTACGAATACAAACCGCTAAGCGACTGCTAAAAATGTTTCCAAACTTCAATCAAAGGCAATTTGCAAACATAGTTACTGGTGACAAAACATGGGTTCACTATTTCGAACCAGTAAGAAAAGTTGGAAACAAATTATGGCTAACCAATCACAGTATAAGGCCTGTAGTTGCCAAAAGGACAGTGAGCACAAAGAAGGTCCTTTATTGCATATCCTTCTCTTGTGATGGTTTAGCCATACAAATTCCGGTGCCGAAGGGTAAAAGTGTTACAGGTCGGTATTACCGAGATGTTGTACTGAAAAACCTCAAGAAATATTATCAGAAACGACGTCCTGTGTCAGGATTTAGGCATGTTTGCCTTCTTCATGATAATGCTCCATCACATACATCTGAGCTTGTGAAGCAATTTTTGAAGTCTGAGAAGGTTACCGTCTTGCCACACCCACCATACTCTCCGGATCTAGCACCATGCGAATTTTTCCTTTTTCCAAAACTTAAAAAGTTCTTATCTGGTCGTCGATACAAGTCCCGACAGGCCCTTGGCTCAGCCGTCAGTCAGTGCGTCAGAGGTATAGCTAAATCAGCGTACGGTGACGCATTTCAGAAATGGATTCAGAGATTAAAATTGTTTATTTCAAATCACAGAGAATACTTTGAAGGGATGTAATGTCCATTTGACTATTTGAATCGAATGCTTTTGAGATATCGTACAATACACAATACATATCGAACAAACCTTGTAATCTTGCTCTTAAATAGATATACATGTCAGTAATGAAGAATTATGCATACATAAATGTTTTAATCTGAACCTTAACACCTTTAATTCTGTTTTAATTTTTTTTTTACATTAGGACATCTTTAGAAATTTGTTTGTTTGCCCTCTGTTGACAGACTGGATAAAAGTGGCTCAACTCAAAACTTTTTTGGACCTTCTTGAAGCAGTTATTGTTTATAAATAGATTCTGGAAAATAGATGCTGAAATTTTGTGGTTGAAAAAATTTCAACCTACTTACAGACTTATTTTTCCACCCTGAGCTGGGAGAGGGCAGACAAACATTATTTTTAAGTTGGCCTTTTTGGGATTGATTATGCAGACACTTTTTTACGAGTGAAAAATGACAAATTAAAATTCAGCATGAAAAGAACTAATAATTTGCCATCAGTGGTAATGGTGATTGGATTGCAGTAATTAGATTAAATAGATAAAGGTAGCCATATTTTGGGAAAGATATTTGTATGAAGGGTATTGTGTTTTGTGATTTCTTAGTATATAAGGCAAAATAAAAAATTATGTGTTTTGTGGTAACGTGACAAAATATAAAAAAAATGAAGAAGGTAGGTTGGCAATAATTTTATTTTTAATTCAATATACTTATAAACTTGCACAAAAAATAAAGTCAGACTTTACATGCATTTTAGTTACAGTGCTATTAGAAAGCTTGGAAGATGTACATTCTAAGTCTGCGGGGGGGGGGGGGGGGGGGATACTAATTGGACTAACTCTTAGTTGGAGAAATTGTCCATCTTTATACTGTTCTAATTCTCTTACATGTATTCATCTGAATAATTTCAGGCTGGCATTAACGATGATGATCTGTCATCTAGTCCTGAACCTCAGATTATTTCTAGTCATTCCAAGCCAAGTAAGTACCCACTTAGAGTTTATTTTTACCAATATGTTAATAATGCAATAAACACCCTTACTCCTGTAATATTATAGTAAGAAATTCTTTGGAATCATTTTAATTCCTGGGGGTCAATTTTTGTTGGTATGCAAATTTTGACCTGTTTGTTGGGACATAATTTTGTGAGATACTCATAAATTCAATGGTTCAATTAATCAATATGTTGAAAAAAAAACATTCGTGGGGATGTAAATTCGTGGGTAAGGGTGCCCCATGAAATCCATGAACATTGGTCCCCCAGGATTCTACAGTATATTTAGATTTCTTAATATTTAGGGCTTTGTCTATATTCAGAATTTGTTCTTGTGTGATCAGATATCAAGATGTGCCATTAACTGTGATTATGTTGTGCTATTTTTATCATAGAAAAAGTTTCCAGTAAGTCAAAGGTCAAGATCAGTGAGGTGGAGGATCCAGGAGAGGTGAAGAAGAAGAAAAAGAAGAAGAAAGAGAAGGTGATTATACGGCTCAGTTACGACCACTGCTTTATCCTGTATCATTACTCGGCTCAGTTACGATCACTGCTTTATCCTGTATCATTACTCGGCTCAGTTCAGATCACTGCTTTATTGTTATTTTATCGCCCTCTTATAAAAAAAAAGGTGAAAACACTGCTCAGTTCTGATCACTGCTATATCTCTACATAGCACAGATCCGATCGCTTCTTTATCATGATTCATTAATCTGCTCAGTTCAAATCACTGTTTCATTGTGTTTCATCACTCTCATAAAATTAGTAGGTAATTACATTGCTCAGATCCAATAACTGCTTTATCCTGTTTCATCACTCTTATAACAAGTTATGTTAGCTTACTGGAGTGGAAAGGTTTAAGCTCAAGTGAGGTTTTCTGATCGTATTTTGTCTATAGTCCATCTGTCTGTTCATCTATAAACTTTTCACATTTTCAGCTTCTCCAGAAGCACTAAACTAATTTCAGCATCTTTGGGTAAAGGGGATTTAAAGTTTGTACAAACAAAGGTTGCAGCCTCTTTCAAGGGTAGATAATTAAGAATTAAAATTTGGCTGTATCTTTTTAAAAATCTTAATCTCAAGAATCAATGGGCAAAAAAAAATGAAACTCATAGGAAACCTTTGGAATATTATTGTACATGTAGATTCAATTAAAAATTACTTAGATTTCATTTATAACTTTATTGGTTTTCATTTCAAGATTTTATAGCATGAAACATGTTAAACTTTGAACAGAAAATCAAAGCCTAAAGGTTTTTTAAAAAATAAAGAATTCAGGGGGTTCTACAAAACGAATTTTTAAAAATATTTCCAAATAAAGTTAAATAAACCGTATTTTAGAGCTTAATGATATTGGATACTGGGTCTATTATTAGAAACAAATACCAGGGTACATGAAACAAAAACATACTTCATATGTGTAGAGATCCTCCTTAACTCCTTGCCCCCTAACTCCCATAATATGTAACAGAGAAACATAAGAATTTCATTTTTGACATTAAGGTGTCTTATATTTTTGAGTCTGTGTCTTGGTCTTCATCCAAGACAATTTTTACAAGTTCAAGGTCACAATCAGAATAATAGATGCCATACAAAATGCTAGCAATTTAACATTTCATTTCTGAAAAAAGAGAGAGCTAAATAATTGGTTTTGTTTATATTAGTCCATAATATACAGATGTGCTATAAGAGAGGGATATTGTTTCAAGGCCAAGGGGGTTCACATTCACAGTGGCCTAAGAATTGTGAATTACAGATACCTTAACTTTTATTTTCTGGATGATTCGTTGGATGCAAAAGTTTGGGGATCTGGTTCATTCTAATGTAACTGTAAATCCTACCTAATGTTCAGACTAAATAGGTTAATCCGTGTTTGCTTTTTGTATTGCCAATAGGATGAGACAGGAATGAAAAAGAAAAAGTCTTCCCAAGAGAAGGAGAGTGGTAAAAAAGATAAAACTTCAGAGAAAGGAGCGGGGGATTCAAAAAAGGACAAGAAGAAGAAAAAAAAGAAAGCAGTGACAGAGGAAGAGGAAAGTCGAGATGCGCTGGAGGCATTCCTTAATGATGCCGGGGGCTACGAGTCTTTATAGGCATTGCTGTTGGTTTAATTACATGTATACATGCCTATAGACACTGTGCAAGATTCTGATAGAAAACCTGACCTGGCTTACGTCTCACTTTTAGTTCCTGTTATTTGTATGTGATCTGACACATATCAGAATACTGTATACAGGGTTATTTTCGCCCTTTTGCACTTGCAAACAATTTTGCCCCGTTTTAAATTCGCCCAGTCATAATTCTATTGAAGAAAGTATGCTATGTAATTTAAATTCACACCGATTTAAAGACGCCAAATCAGGAAGAGGGTGTAAGAGGCGAAAATAAAATGGGGGCGAAAATTTCCCTGTTTACAGTTCCCTATTTAGCCTAACAGTATTGAATTATATTGTTTAAAACACAGTCTAAAAAGGCATTTAATTTAAAAGTCTGCTTTAGTGATGATTTTGTGTTCCACTTTTTAATTAGTGTTGTGAGCATGAGAGAGGTTTAAATTCATTACTTGACTGAAACTGCTCACTGTAAAAAATATAGAATATTTCATAGGTGAGTTATACCAAGCCGCCTGCAGTTTACTTTGAGATTTATACATGATTGTTTGGAGAAATCAGAAAAAAGCAATGACTGATCATTGATTTGTTTCATTTTTTGTCTCTCCACAGCTTTAGCGTCTTGAAGAAATTTCCCTATATCAGCCTGTACATGATTGTATATTAAGCCCATTTTTCATTCACTTTAATTGGTAAACATTGACATTGACATAAGAAAATGTATTCAACTTTTTATGCAATGAATCTGATGCTGTGAAATTAAATAAATTCCTGTCTTTTTCGTTCTACAATAACATTACAGAATTAATATTATAATACATTGTATATCATTGTATGAGATAGCTATGTAGACAGATGATTTTTTACCTGGGATATCTCGGTAGTTAGAGCACCTGAGTGCTGTTCTTGTACAGCTATAATTTATTTTGTGTACATGTATTTGTTCATTCTTCTTTCCTTGTTGATGAAGTACATGTATCAACTGCTATGACAAATAAGCATTTCATTTTTAAAAACATTTTAATTTCTGTTATGACTTTGTTAATTTATTTATTTTTAGGGTCAAGGATCGATACTCACACTGTCTTTTTTTGTGTTCTCATTGATATTTTTTTATGTTTCAAGGTGGCTTGTATGTTAATTGTTAATGATTATATAGACTAAGGGGATCCCAATAGGAATATAATATATACAGTTTAAGTTTTTATATTTAAAACTTTGATGTAGTTTGATAAAGCATTTGTTCTTTGACTCCATTTTATCATCGCTTGCCATCAAATTGTAATAATAACACTTTCATATAGCCAAGTCTGTGATTATAAGAAAGTTTTATCTCTTGAAGATATGTTTGCCACAATATTTTAAAAACAAATATTTTAAGTAACAAGAAAAGATTTGGAAAAAAAAACATAGTTTGGAGAAAATTTCCCCATGATGGATTTGTTTTGCTTAGTATTAAATAGAAATAATATATGATATGCTTCCCCACATGAAACACTTCCTTGAATCAAAGGCAGCAATAGAAGGTCCTGGGTATAATTTTGTTAAATAATTTTCATTTTAAAAATGGGAACTTTTCTGAATGTGAATTAAATAGTAAGCCACCAGTTCAATGAAAGAATCTTCAAAAAACTTCCATCTTTCATGTCAGGAGTTGATGAAGTTTCTTTTGAAATTCACTGTTTCTACAGCTACTGAGGGATCTGGCAAAATGCTTGTGCAAACACCTGTAAACCTGCTTAGTAAACTGCTCAGTGTGGATGTTTATGAAAATCAATTTTTCTAGAAAGTAAGACAAGTGTTTGATAGAGTTTTCTGTTTTTGTTTAGTGTTAGTGACATTAAGTAGAAATGGATCATGAATTATACATGTAAGATGAACAGTGTTGGCTTGCTATTAAGTTATTTATGCTTTATTTATTTAGTACATACATGTATGTATGATAAGGATTTTTATGTAATATTTTCCCATGATACCTAATAAATAAAATGATGAACTTTAAGACATTTTATTTTCTGCTACAGTGTAAAGGTAAATGCAAGATCTACTATATGCACATGATTCAAAGATCTGATACTTGTGAATAAATCCTCAACTCAGTTACATACTATTGTACACACAGGCATAGCAGTGATTCAAGGTCATTTCAACAAGCACATGCAAGGTCACTAAATGGAAAATTGCTGAATCTAATTAGATATGAATGAGAAACTGTAGAAGCATTGATAGGTGGTCAATGTAACAAGCTTGTCTGTCTGATGTTTAGCGGGATTTATTGGAAGATACTGTAAATATTTTATATTTGGCTGTCTATTTAGCGCTTTTTGCGGAAAGCATCTTCAGCTAAATCAAGTACATCGCTAAATGTCTTGTTTACAAAAATTCGTAGGATGCAAATTCAAAAAGCATGAATTCAAATCTATGCTAACTTGTTAAAAATCAAGTTAATCAATTTCGGCCAAATATTGTACACGCCAAATAAAACTGACTTACAGTTATTAATCAGAATTTACTGCAATTTAACAATTAAAATGGTGAGAAAGCATTAAATATGGAGGCTGGGTAAGGATATGCAAGGAAGACCATCAATAATGGTAACTCATAGATGCCTGCTGAAATATTGCCAATCTGTCGTTAAACGATATACATGTGTACAATCAATTAAAGACGCTCTGTGCTTGGTTACAAAATATTGGCAGTTACAAAAGGAAAACATTCAAAAGATCAATGGACAATGAATGCATCAAAGACAAAAACACAGATATTTGATTTAGAATTTACATTTTATTTTTGTTTTAATAAATACCAAAATATTAAAAACAGAACAAGGAAATAAAATACAATAGATTCAGGCATTAACATATAATTTAAATTACAACATGATCACATGCAAAATCTTTTACAAGTCTTTAAAATTATTTCTTTCTCATATTTCAAGTGATATAACAATTTAAATACCAGAATTTAGTAAACGAAATAAATATATCACCGTACAATAATTACTGGTGAGAAAGTAGCGGTTCATGAGTCAATATGCTCGGTTTTTCAGGTCACAAGGTCTGTGTCATTATTTGGTCTTTTTCTTCTTCTTGGTGGTGCGCCGTTTAGTTTTAGAGTCCACAATAAACTGAGATTGTTTCTTAATTGCATTACGATTTGGAACATCTGTATCATCATCTCCGCTGTCTTCGTCATCTGAAAAATCATCAGTAACATTTTAAATAATGATCAAATCATCAGTAACATATCTTTTACATCTATCAATTCTACATCAGCATCAGCAAAATTCTCAATCAAAACATCCAAATTATTAAGACATCAAATAATGTGCAGCATTTAAAAATAAAAACCCTCAATGATTCTCATGATATATACCAAATATGACATTTCGAAAAAAAATAACTGCTAATGTGTTAGGTCATACATACATTAATTATGTATAACTTAATAATTTTACCAATTAATTCATGTAAAATATTCATGAAGTGACTTGTAATCAGCAATTCCATTAATGTGAACATGATGCGTGCGGTAGTACATGTGCACCAGTGGAGAACGATTACAGTCATCAGTAATCTCCCTTTAATTCTGATCATGCAGTGTGCAACTTCAGGTTACAAAATATTGTGTGCAGTTACAAAGGAAAACATTCACTTAGATCAATTATTAATCAGAATTTACAAAGACAAAAATCACAGGAAACCAAATAACAAATATATTTTAAAATGATTTTTTAGCTTTTTAACTATATTTTCAGGAAAATATTGATTTATGAATTTACAAGTTTTAATAAATACCAAAAAGTCATTATAAAACAGGTAACTATAAATTGAAGATTCAATAGATTCAGGCATTAACATATAATTTAAATTAGCAACATGATCACATGCACAATCAATTTAAAGACGCTCTGTGGTCTTATCTTGGTTACAAAATACTATTTCATTTCTAAGTTTTTTTTATTGTGCATAAGAAAATGCAATTCACCAGTGAAAGTTAACATAACAATTTCCTCCCAAAAAGAATTTTAATTCCTAACGGACAATGAATGCATCAAAGACAATTTAATAATACTTCATTGTGGTCACTGGTGAATAACAGTTTTGAAAATTGATTTTAGTTAATGATGGTTGACAGATATGTACTGTAATATCATTTATAGAGCAAATGATTACATTGTTTGTGACGAGCTTTTGCTTGTCGAGAACTTTAAATTCTACGTCACATTTGTTCAAAGGAAGTAGCCGAGATATCGTCTCTCCCACGCTATACCAAAATATTTAAAAACAGAACACAAATCTTATTAAACATTTTAAAAAGAGCATTAATATTAAATACAAATAAATTAAAGAAAATTAAATTTTATAGCATTTACCATTTGTGTCTATATGGCATTAACATATAATTTAAATTAAATTGCAACATGATCACACTGTACATGTGAAATGATTTTTCTTTTATTCAAGTCTTTAAAATTACATTATACCCAAACAGCCGTTTCTCATATGTATCAAGTGATTTCTGTCATAACAATTTAAATACCGGGTGCATAGTTTTGAATTACACACATCTCTCTCTCTCTCTCTCTCTCTCTCTCTCTCTCTCTCTCTCTCCAGTAACACTTTTAAATAAAACATGATCAATTTTCGTTATCATCAGTCTCTGATTTTTTAATTATCAGTAAGCACACATTATCTACTGGTGAGAAAGTACTGCTTCAGTTCTATTATGTAGAAAAGTACTCAAAAGCACATGAGTCAGCCCATATTCTCGGTTTTTGCAAACAGCAACATATCCTGCCCAATATTCTGTGTCTGTGGGACAACTTTATCGAATGCTATAATGTGCTAGCATTTTTCTTCTTCTTGGTGGTGCGCTCAATTGAAAGTTCCATGATTGGTCCCAATTATATACCAAATAAATTTTCTCCCATAAGAACATTTTGGCACTGAGATAATTTTTAAAACATAACTTTTCACATTTTCTGCTAATGTGTTACGATTTGGTTAACATCTGTATCTAGAGAAGAATCAAAAGTTATGTATAACTTAAGTAATTACTCATAAAAGTATCTGAAAAATTATGTAAATTTATCATATTTCTTTAAAGTAAAGATTTTAAATTTTATATAGAAAATTGTGACTTGTAAATCATCAATTCCATATATTTTATTAAAAAAGTAGGTATCCAGGCATTCAGAGAAATTGTTATGAATTTTATACTTATTTGGTATTTTTGCTTCTTTTTCCTTTATATATTCTATAATACATAGTGTAAAAGGCTTTTGCATCATTGCAAGACACCACACATGCAATAAGCATTGGTATCAGGCTGGAAATATTAATCTGTTCAAAACATCCAAATTATTAAGACATCAAATAATGTGCAGCATTTAAAAATAAAAAATACACCTCAATGATTCTCATGATATATACCAAATATGACATTTCGTTTAACTGCTACGAAAAACAAACAACTTGAATTGTATATGTGTTAGGTCAATACATTAATGTGTGTGATAACTTAATAATTTTATAAATAATTGCATGTAAAATATTCATGAAGTGAC